TTTATGAACATAATAGATCATCCATATATTTATTGTAAATATTTATTATTAGAATTTTATCATAGCAAAAAATTAGAGAAATAAATAAATATTTATAATCTAAAAATAAGAATAAAAAACAACATAAAATCTTCATATGATATTTCGATATATTGATGTCATTCTTAGCTCTACAACTTACTCAACCTATATATTATATATTATTCTAAAAATTATAAAATAAAAATATCAATTATTTAGAAGAAATTTAAATTTATCTATGAATGTGATAGATCATCCATAGATCTACAACATAATCAATATTTAGAGGTAGATCACAAAAAGAAACCTAAAATTTTCATTTCTTTCAGATTTTTAATATTTTAGAAAATTTCAAATATTCACAAAGATGTTTCTAAGCATCCAAACTAAAAAAACACAAAAACATTGGCTGAGATTGTAAAAAAAATTGAAGAAACATACATATTTTCGCTCATTTTTTAACAATCTTGAAAAACTTGTTGGATCTTGGAAATTTGTGGATATTTTGGTGGGTTTTGACTAGATTTCATTCTCCAAGAATGGTATGAAGGTTTCTAGAGGGTTTTGGGAAGAAAGAGGGCTTCTAAAATGAAGTTTTTTTTAGAAGCCCTCTTTCGAATGACGTTTTTTTTTTTGATTTTCCGCAACAGTAAAATCGCATTGTATTGGCCATACGCTATCGTATCGGTTGCGTATTTTCTGATACAACACTGAAATAGGTCGATACTTATCGAAACGTTACCGAACGGGCACAATACGTTTCCGGAATGGTACTAAAGATTTGATACCATTCCCCGTGCCGGAACCTCAAAGATACGATACATATCAGCCGATACGTAACGAAATTTTGAACCTTGGGGAAAAATCAAATTTGTATACTCAAGCAAATCATACTTTGAGTAAATTTCTTAAATTAACCTTATGGTTTGACTAATTGACTATGTATACCTTTACTGTTTCACAATTGTCTTGACCCTAACAAAGGCTAGGGGTGTTCACAGTTCGGTTGACACATTTTTTGGAATTGAACCGGTACTATTAGTTTTTGAAAAATTGGTAACCGAAACCGAACCAAAGCTAGTCGGCTAACTGGTTGATCGGTTCGGTTAACCGTTGGTTCGGTTCATCGATTTTTTGGTTTTTTTAGTTTTTACAATATATATTATAAAAATATATATAAATATATAATAAAAAATTATAAATATATAAAATATTATATTTTAAATGATTAATAATATAATATATTATAAATATATATATATAATGCATATTTATTAATTTATAATATATAAAAAATATAATATATATATAATATAATATACATAAATATATATAAAATATATAGAAATATATGTATACTACTCAGTCCGGTTAACCGCCAGTTTTCTATATTAGTTAATCGAAATAGAACCGGTACCTTCAGTTTTTTAAAACATCAAACTAAAACCAAACCGACCGGTTTGGTTAATTGATTTGTCGGTTTGGTTTTTCGATTTTTTTTTTTTGCTCACCCCTACCCTATAGTTTTGAGAAGAAAAGTGCAAATACCTCATTTCCCTTGGCTTTTCAGTAATAAAGACATTGAAATTACCAAATTACCCTTATCATTGTTAATGTATTATCATACATAATTTAAAGTTTCAAATAACCCTTCACTAATTTATTTTGATAGACAATTTTGAAAGAATTATTCTCGTTACTTTTCTTGGACAAATGTAAAAAGGCTGAAGTGAAGTAAAATTAATGCATTACATCAACACTTTTTATTTGGAATGCTGACTAAAGGAAGGTATATGCACCTTTTTTCAAAA